TTTTATTAGTGTATTGACTGTGAGGTGCTCTTACATATATTTCCTTATCTAGTTTTGCGTGTAGATACGCAGTCTGTATGTCATATTGAAATACATCAAGATTGAGTGCGGATGCTACTACTAGAGCTGTTTTAACACTCTCTGTTCTTACTGTGGGGGAGTACGTGTCAGTATAGTCCTCCGGATATTTTTTGTGCATAACCTTGTGCAACCAATCTAGCTTTGTATAGGGTATTGCCTCCTTCTAGGTTCTTAATTTTATAAATCCACCTGGTACCAATAATTGTTTTATCTTTAGGTGCAATCGCAGGTGTGAATACATTTAATCCTTGCAAACTTTCCATCTCTTTTTTCATAGCTAGTTCCCATTTTTCCTTTTCTTCACGAGGGAGTTTTAATACTTCCTCATATGTATTAGGTGTTATTTGTTCACCATCCATATGCATTATGTAATCTCTGTATTTATTTGGTATTTGATTTCTGTTGTTCCTAATAGCTCTTTCAGGTTTGCTATGGTAGTCATGCAAATATCTTGCTTCCTTTTTTGTTAATGTGTCTGTCTTTATTTTGTGTTGACTATTTGTCCATGTTTTGGTTTTGTTTTTATTTTTGTTGATATTTTGATTTTCTATTGTCCCTTCCTCACGAGATTTTGTATCTTTGCATTTATTTGGAAATATTTCATTAAGATGTAATTTTAGACCAGTTGGCCTGTTCATGGAACACAGCTGTTCTGGAAACTATAAATTTGTTATTATTATCAATGAATCTGTACCCTTTGGTGCCAGTTTCATATCCCATAAATCTTAGTCTTCTGGATACGTTTTCTCCCTTTCTTCTCAACTGTTTAGGTATGTGTACGTCTGCAGTGACCCCAAATATGTGCATGTGTGCTAATTTTGGTTTCCTATTATACATCACCTCATATGGTGTCTTATTCACAATACTGGACCAGGTTCTATTTTGAGTGTAATTTGAATAATGTAAGGCTTCTGACCAAAATTGTTTGCCTAAACCAGCATCCTCTAATGTGCACCTAATCATGGTTTGTAATGTGGAATTCTTTCTCTCTGCAATCCCGTTCTGGAACGCAGAAAATGGACTAGACGTGTAATGTAGCATTCCTCTATCCTTTAACCATTGGGAGAATTCTTTAGACATGAATTCACATCCCCTATCTGTCATAATTTGTTTTATTCTGATATTATGTTGTGTTTCTATGCGTTTGTAAAATTCCTTAAATTTTTGAAAGGTTTCATCCTTGTGTTTTAATGTGTAAACAAAACCATAGCGACTGTAATCGTCTACTATTGTTAGGAAGTAACGTTTTCTATAAGTGATCGATGGAGTTAATGGGCCAACTAAGTCCATGTGTACTAAGTCAAAAATTTTGTTAGTTGATCTGGTGGATTTTTTTGGCCTGGGACTAGTTTTTAGTTTAGTAGATTTACATACTGAGCATTCCAAATAATTTTCACAATTTTTTATTTTGACACCTTCTGCGTGTTCAGTCATTTTTTGTACTACAGGAAAACTTGCATGTCCTAACTTCCTATGTAAGATGTGAGCACACTCGTCATGAATTGGTTTACCTATTTTTGGTTTCTTTTCATTGTGTGTATCTGTGTGATCATGAGATATTTTACATTCATCATTGTCACTGTTACTAATATTTTCATCATCTGCCTCAATACAATCTTCCATATTTGAATCAATGTTATGTAACCATCTTTCTTTTGTTATCAGATAGGGTAGGCCTCCTTTAATCATCACAGTGCCTACATTTGTTTTATTCTTCTCTAAAGTTGCTTTTCCCTTTGAGAAAACTATATTGATGTCAGAATCTCTGCTTAGTTTTATGGCACTTAGTATGTTATGAGGTATTTCTGGTATTAACAATACCCCCTCTATTTTTCCTAGACCAGGCAAGGTCACATTCCCTCTGCCTAATACTTGAACTTTTTCTTGATTAGCTACCTTTATTACAAACTTATCTTCTGTAAATGAAGACAATATATTTTTGTTATTAGTGGTGTGATTAGTTGCCCCAGAATCAATAAGCCAATTATTGTTCTCATTTTGTTGCGTTTTAGTGCTGTCTTGTTTATTTAGTCCATTCAGTGAACCAGATTTTCTCTCTTTTGAATTTTCTCTGCCCCCTCTACTTTCTCTGTAATTTGGTGGGCTTCTATATTTATGTCTATCTGTGGAAGACTGTCTATAATTGTATTTATTCCTATATTCTGACCTATGTCTTTCCTTTGAAATTTTGGGACAATCTCTTCTATTGTGTTCCCTGGACCCACAATTGTGGCATTTAAAAGTTTCATTATATTTTTCTTGGAAAGCTACCTTCCTAAAAGATTTGTGTTCTGTATGATTGCTATAACGATTTTTTCTTGAATTGTCTTCTGCTATCAATTTGTTAGACAGACTTTCTATTGATAAATATCCTAGATTGATGGTGTCTAAGTGTGACATAAAACTATCCCATGATGAATCAAGTGAGTTGATAATAACACTTTTCATTGTTTGATCTGAAATCACTTCCCCCCTCAAATGCAGCTCAGCTCTTATTTTGTTTAAAGATATTAAATGCTCACTTATGGAAACCCCTGGTTTTACTCTGGAAGAAAAGAAGTCCTTAGACATTCTTGTGGTGGTAGCTACACTATCGCTGTGAAACAAATTAAACATGCATTGAATTATTTCTGAAACAGTTAGATTTGGTTTGATGCTATGATACATTGCAGGAGACACGCTAGATATTATTAAGAAAAATGCCTTATGGTGTAAACAATCTATTTTTAAAGTCCAAGGTCTTCTTGGGGGACTAGTGATAAAAAATAATAAATTTTCTTTCATAAAGACAACCTGGAGCTGTTGATACCATTCTTGCAAATTAATGCCATCAACCCTAAGTTTTGGGAAGTCACTGGTAAGTTTCCCACATTATTTTGTCCATTACTTACAACCTGAGGTAGTCCGTGGTCTCGCAAGTGTAGGAAATTGCAAAACGGCATGGGGATGCTCGCAACGAGTCTGCGCGGTTCTCTGGCCAGTTCAAGTCTTTCCGGACCGTCTACGTAGTTTCGCACATGCGCGTTGTTCATTTCTTCTTTGGCGTCGTCGTGGAAGGTTCTCTCCATTGTAGCTCGCTCGCTCCGCTCCTCTTCAGACGAGTCGGTCTCTGGCTCGGTCTTAGGAGTTCTGATGGCGGCGACTGTTCTTCTCTTTCTTTTGGGTGCGTTGGCACTTGCTTCGGTCTGCGGTGTAGGGCGGAATCGACATGGCTCTCTGGGCTCGGGCGTCGTCGCTCTCGAAGTCAGGATGGGAGCGTGCAGGTCTTGAAGTATCGGCTTGTTCGCTTGCTTCTTCGTTGGCGCTTTGGAAATTTTTAATTTTGGCCCAAATGCAGCAAAAAGCGTCTTCATTGCTGACTTTACTTGGGATTTCGTTAAGTCGTCTTCACTTTCTGATTCTGGCTCTTCCGAAGAGTTTGAATCCTCCTTTTCACTTTCGTTGTCTGATAACGTTTTTCGCGCCAGAAATTTTGAACTGAGCATTTTGATTGGCTCTGCTTCGCTCACTTTGGAGGCTTGTTGAAACCAAGATGGCTGCCATTCAAAATTTCGCGCGGGATCACATTTTTTCTTTTTCATAACGACTTTCTCTGTAGTCATATCACTCACAGTTTTTTGGTCTTTGGGTTTCTCTTTAGCGATGTTTTTCTCTCTCGCTGCTCCGCTGTTCTTCAGCATTTCTTGGAGGTTCGCGATGAGGCTTTCATCATTCTTCTGGCTTTTTAATAACTTCAATATCTCTGACCTGAGTTCGTTATTTTCTATTTCGATTTCCTCCTGGCCATCATTTTCATTTATTAATTCTTCTTCTTCAGTGGTGTATTCTCCGGATTCTCTCGAAATCGCGTTTGTGGATTCGTTGATTATTTCTTGTTCAGTTTCTATTTCTTTGCTGTAGGCCCTGGTGTTGGGCCTATCTTTCTTAGACATTTTTAGGTATTTATTGAGTCAATCAACCATCCTCTGCTACCAGCTTGTTGCAATATTTTCAGGATCAGACTCAATAATAATAATAAGAGTTAGAGGTTTAAATATATTTCTCTTTAATTATAATAGGCATTCTATATTCACTGAATATTCACAGATAGAAGCAAAGAAAATGGTGAAGGTGGCTCCTTATATATACAAAGGGTGGAGCCAAGAGTGGGAGTGGTGAATTATGAATACATTAAGAGTCAAAGAATAAGTTAACCCCTGATATCCCTATATACATTATTTACACATTAGGGAATAAGGCATTTACATCTGACATGGATATTGAAAAAGAACAAGAGAAAGAAAATAAAAGCTTCCGAATTATAGATTTAAAGTTAGTTATGTACTGAAGTATCATGGGTTAGAAGAAGAACTAGCTAATTATGTGATTGTTGTAAATGGATGATGGACTTTAATATACTTTGTCAAATTGGGGAAATAGAAAAAGGGGAAGACAGCAGAAAATAATGATGAATGGGATAAGGGAAATCAACAAATTATTTTGGAGACTTACAGATTAAATCTGAGCCAGGCTGAGATGTTAGGCATTGGTCAATACCAGGAGTTTTCAAATCTCAACTATGGAAATTTTAATTTAAAAATATCTCATAAATCTTGATCAGCAGGCAAAGTTCTAGTAATAGAAATTTGATGTTTACATCTGAACTCTTTATTTCCCTGTGATGTCTCAGGGAACCTCAACAGCTTGAAAGATCCTGGTCTCTATGTTTACCACTGGTCATCCCAATTTTTTTCTTTTTTATATACTTCATTAAAATTTTATAAAAGCTAAAATATAAAATGCAAACAAACAAAATATTAAGAAGGAAAAAGATAGGTTAAGGGAAGGTGTAAAGAAATAAAGTAAAACAAGAAGAAATAAAGAATTAAACTTTCAAGATAGTTATAAATATATAATGCATTGAACTTTTGATCTAAAATTCAGTAATACCTGTATTTCTATCATCATAAACACTTCTATTTGTCAATCTTAAAATTAATGTAGCATTTCAGTTTCTAACAAAAAGTCAAAAAGCAGTTCCCACGTGGAAACAAAGTTAGACATTTTAAAAAAAAAGGTAGTAAATTTTGCCATCTCAGTCAGTTCCATTATCTTCGGCATCCATTCTTCCATTGTGGGACACTCTAAGTCTTTCCATCTCTGAGCACACAAAAATCTTGCTGCAGTTATCATCTATAGAAACAAAAATCCCAATTTTTTTTCTTTAACTGCTTATCCCTGAAACCTAACTGGTCATCTCAAATGAATGGCATTGAAGATCACATATATTCCGAATGCAATTTCTAGTCAGGATAGGCAATGGGAATTATAAGAGTTGCACTCAATGGGTTTGGGGATATTGCAGGGGTAAAATCTACTTACCTTCCCTACCTGTTCGGAAGTGCGCGTGCCATCATCATGTCCTATTTTTGACCCTCTGCGCATGCGCAAAGCTGCCTGCGCATGTGCAGAGGGTCAAAAATGGGTTCCAACCAGGAAGTGACTACATCCAGGCGGGTGGGCGGAGCCTCACACTGCTGCTGTTACCAGTTCGCCAAACCACGCACTACCGTTCATTACCAGTTCGCATGAGCCAGACAGAACCGGCAGGATTTCACCACTGGGATATTGGGAAACTGCCAGCCAAGCTGGAAGGAGGGTCAAGCAAGGGCCTAGCTTGAAATCTTCACACAGCCACAAGCAGGATAAACTTAACTTCCCCCATGATCCACGAAGCCTTAGCTGGTTGTTCCCAGGGGAAGGCAAGCAATCTGGTAAGATTCTTGTAACATAAGTGGTATATAATAAAGTTACTGACTTTTATTATTCATGAGTGGCTCTGGTTGCTTCTGACAGGAAAATAACCAAGTTTAATTAAACTGCTCCAAGCTCCATTGGGGGATGAATATAGAATACCGTGTTTTCCCAAAAATAAGACCCTGTCTTATATTTTTTTGAACCCTAAAATAAGCGCTTGGCCTTATTGCCATGCGCTCAAAAGCCCGATTGGTCTTGTTATCAGGGGATGTCTTATTTTGGGGAAAACAGGTTATAGATTCTGATATCCTGCACAGTATGAGAAGTAAGATATTGGGCTAAGAAAATGATGACAGTAAATAGATTTTTTTTAAAAAAAAAAAAACTTTATAAGAAAATCTAAGTGCAACTTACCTGTTTTTCAAGGTAACATGGGTTGGTTTTGGAGAAGAGAAAGAAAGCAGCATGATCCTTTTAGAAGTGGAAAATTGAAGATGACATACATTCTTTAGTCTTTTTGAGATATGTCATATAATGACTTATATCAGGAGTAATAAATGGATTCCCTCTTTCCCCCTAAGGTGTCTTTCAAAACTGTCTATCGGAACAATTTCTTAAAGCTATGTTGATAAATTGGATGCAGCACAGTTTGGAAGCAGAAGCAGCCAACAAAAATACCCATTCATTCCATTTATCAGGAAGATTTCTTTTCTGTGTTTAAAGAAGAGCAACCTAGAAATATGAACAGGCCAATTCATAAAAAACATTGTATACTAATAAGGTAACAGAAACAAAAGGGAGAGTTTTTCTACTAATTTGAAGAGTCACCTTGGACAACGAGTAAATAAATAATAAATAAATGTATTTTAAGTGTATTGATTAAATATTTGCTACACAATAACCATGCAGACAACCTTTTCATTGGATGAAAAGTAGCTACTGCTGCTTTCTGTGTCTGGGTTCACATACCATGCTGAGCCAAAAGGTGATTCATTTTATCTTTGGTTTAATGGCTTGCAACACAAAACATGGCTTACTTCAGGGATGGCTGAGTGTGCAGCTACATGGTGCCTATCCCCTCTTCGCAGCCTTCTGTCCATGCTTCCTGTTTTGAGAGTAAGTGTAGTATACCCCTCCTGCAGATGAATGGATTTTATTCTCCTGAGTGTCTCTCTCAGTTTTATGTTATTATAATATATGGTTTTATTTTTAAATTAGATTTGTACTGGTATTCATCTCAATTGTGCATTGGGGAGCTGAGAGTTGGCTGACTAGAGTGGCTGACAGTTATAAGCCCGTAAGTAGTAAAAAAAAAAAAAAATTAGTTAAAAACTTAAATTAGTAAAAAGTAGCTTTTTAAAAAATCAGTACTAAATTACATTAGTACTATTAATAAATAATTTTTTAAATTAAATTTGAAAAAGCACTTTTTAAATAAGTAAAATGTAGTTTAAAAAAGTTAAAAAAGAAAATCTTTGAAACTCCAATGAATAACATAATTCTGCCTACAGGCGGATTTTTTTTTTTTTTTAAATTTAGGCAGGAGATACCAGTGCTCCTTTTCTCTTGCAGGTCTGCCTTCCAGAAGACCACACCCCACAAAATTAGATTGTCGTTGATTCTGCCAGCTGTTTGCAAAGCACTAAAGATCTGGATGTGCTCCAAGGCCTAAGGCCTAAGGAGCTTATTTAATTTACCATATTGTAGATGATGGTTAGATGACCCTTGAGATGTTACCGTTCTTCTGAGCACTTATTGGGTTTATTCTAGGTCAGGGGTGTCAAACTCGACTTCATTGAGGGCCGCATCAGGGTTGAATTTGACCTTGGGGGGGCGCTGGGGGGGGCATGGCCAGGGTGTGTGTGGCCAGCTTGACATCACTCGTGTTGGGAGCACCTGTGGTGGCCCAAGCGCTCTGCCAGCGAAAACAGAGGTCAGGAGAGCCGCGCGCAACCCTCCCAAACTCCGTTCTCACTGTCAGAGGGCTGCAGGAGGCCATTGCAGCTGAAAACGGAGCTTGGGAGGGGTCAGTTTTCGCTGGCAGAGTGTTGTGGCCCGTCAGCGGCCTGTGCAGCTAGTAGCTGATTCCGACAGCGAGGAGGCTGGTGTGGTGCTGCGCCAGCAGCCTGTGCAGCTGGCACTCGAGTCAGACAATGAGGAGGCTGGAGAAGATGTGGTGCCAGAAGCGGGGATTCAGCCAGGGCCTTCAGAACCTCCAGAAGCTCCCATAAGTGAAGAGGAAGAAGAGGAGGAGCCTCTTCTCGATGCACGGGCGCGCAGAGCTGCCAAAAGGCAGGAGTGGCTCCTCAGGAGGAGGTCTCCTCGAGAGTAAGGCTTGGGGCTAATTGGCCACTCCCTTAGCCTATTTAAGGAAGGACAACTGAAGCAATTTGCAGGGAACAACTTCGTTCACTCTCCTTCGCGTCTGGATCCTAGTTCTCTTATCAGATACCTGCAAATTGCTTCTGGGTTTTCTGCCAACCATAGTAAGATTATGATTATTTATTCTTTGGATTCTTGTAGGCTGTTAAGACAGTTAATTAACAGCCTTTGTTTGAAAAAGACTGATTTAATTTAGTAAACTAAGGTTTGTACAGACTTTGTGTGTGCCGTGTTCTTTGGGGTCCGTAGCTGGGGCAGAACACAGAGGCACTACAGACCGGTCCTTCGCTGTTTCCAGAGTGGCCCTCTTAAACTTATTTCTTAAGTTTGTATGTTACCCACCTCATTGTCAAGCAACTCTGGGTGGCTTATAAATTGTTTTCTTCAGCTGCTGATGCTGTCTTGCTTGCTATTCCAGGTCGGGCCTCTTCCACTCCATTCCCTGCCCATCTGCCATCACTTCATTTCAGGCATCCAGCTTGGCTAGATTCTCAGGGTTCTCCCTGATTCTCCCCCTCCAGTAACTCACTTCACATGGGGACTGAAACAGCTTTGCCAGATCAGTCCTTCCACCTTCACCACCCTTTGCTTTTCTGTTTCTTTCTCATACTTATTATTCCCAACGGAGGATCTTGTCTTGTTTTCATAAGCTTTGTCCAAATCAATTTGATTCATTCCCCTCACCGGTCTGAGCGGTATCATGACTGAGCCCCAGAGAATTCTCTGAGCAAATTAAGTCAGATGCCAGAATCTTTCCTCCCTCTTTTTTATCTTTCAGCTAAAATACAGCTTGGCTGGTGACATTCTGAAGCTCTCCCAAAGGTGATTTTTCAAGAGGCAACTGGACTTTCTCGTTTTTCTTTGAAGATGTTTCGCTTCTCATCCAAGAAGCTTCTTCGGCAGAAAATAATGTTTTCGCCAAAGGACTGAATTTTGCAGTAACAGCTGCAAATTTCGCAGTAACAGCTGTAGATCTCCTCACAGCCACAGAGTCAGCCATCAGGAACAATAAACTGGCAGAACCAGAAGCAGAACAATTAAGGATGAAGGTATCTGCAGCTCTCGCCAGTGCCAAAACATCCCCTTCCAACCTCAGAGCTGAAGAAGCTTCTTGGATGAGAAGCAAAATGTCTTCAAAGAAAAACCATGACCTGGATGACTGAGAATCTCCATAGACATTCTGAAGCTCTGAAATTCATTCATTCATTCATTCATTTGTCTGTTCAATTTACACACCTACCCATTCTAAATACATGGCTCTGGGTGGCTTAAAATAATTGGGAAAAAAAAGAAAGAAATGTAAATATATAAAAGCATTAAAAACCATATAAAATATATAATTGGCAACCAAGGCATAAAAGGTATTGGTTCTCATCTTCAAAGCGCTCTATGGCTTAGGGCCCAGTTATTTACGAGACCACCTTCTGCCACCGATAACCTCCCACTGGCCAATACGCTCCCACAGAGAGGGCCTCCCCAGGGTGCCGTCTGTCAGGCAATGTCGGCTGGCGACCCCCCCGGGGAAGAGCCTTCTCTGTGGGGGCACCTGCCCTCTGGAATGAGCCACACCCAGGGATACGACTGATCCCGGACCTCCGGACCTTCCGCCGGGCTCTGAAGACTTTTTTATTTCAGCAAGCCGGGCTGGGTTAAAAATCTTTTAATTGGTGAATTTTATGGGTAAGGGGTTTTTAAATTGGGGGGAGCCGAAGATAAATTTAATTCTGTTTTATAGTATTTTAATGTTTATATTGTATGTTTTTAAATTTTGGCTGTTCACTGCCCCGAGTCCTTCGGGAGAGGGGGCGGTATAAAAATTAAATAAATAAATAAATAAATAAATAAATAAATAAATAAATAAATAAATAAATAAATAAATAAATAAATAAATAAATAAAAAATAAATAAATAAATAAATAAAATAAAATAAAATAAAATAAAATAAAATAAAATAAAATAAAAACAACAACTTTCAACAAAGCTACTGCACAGGCTCTACCACACACCTGGGTTTCCATGTCTGGTGACACAGCCACATCTTCAAGGGTTTGAGGATGCCAAGGGTCAGGGCCCGTCTGATCTTCTCATCTAAGAAACTTCTTCAGCTCTGACTGGATGGTGGAAGCAGAACGTCTTCAAAGAAAAACAAGAAAGTCCAATTGCTTCTTGAAAAAACACCTTTGGGACAATCATGACCTGGATGACTAAAAATGTCCATAGACTTCCACCTGCTAAGCCATACATACTGTAGACTGTGGTTTTCAAACCAGATTATGGCTAAATTCACAATGTGTGAATCCAGCTGTTTTCTTAAATCCTCAACAGTATACAGTCTATCCCTTCACACAGTACTATATATTTTTTATTTTTTAAAAAACAATAACCTGCTCACTCAGGATTTAATGTTTCTAGAACACAATTTGTCTGCTTCAAAATAGTATCCAGTTTAAGATTATAATATGTTGGATGCAAAAAGCCAAATAACCATTAGATGACAGCCAAGAGGCAATAAAAGCACATCTTTTCTGCCAACTGGTGGTTGACCATGATATGAAACAAACCAGAAGTGAGGAATAAATATTGTGTGGGCTGTTAACTTTATGGAAAAAGAAGTTGGAGTAACTAGGATCACACACGCACACACAGGTATGAAGACTGTGCTTACCCACTCAACCACAACCAAAAATAACCAAGATTATTACTTGTTAGCATGTTGAAGGAATGCAGCCGCTATCTCCTCTGCTCTCATTAAACATGCTGTATGAAGTCGGTTTATTTAGGTTACATTTAATATGCTGTATGAGCCCAGCCATTGGTTTATTCATCCAATCTTTATTAAACAAACTATGGCCTACTTGGCTGTAAACATTTGAGTGACTACAGATCAAAAGTTTAAGCAGCTTGACTTTTACTGTAACTATTGTTAAATAATTAGGAGTGAGAAACATAATTGCTAAATAATTGGAAGCCAGCTGCTGAGATGCTGCATTAGACATTTTTATTTTGATTAATGTAAGCATCCAGTTTCAAATTTGTGGGCTAACCATGGTTTGATGATAACCATCTCAATAATGGTTAGGATCTACCTTGTGTGCTAAGCCAAATCAGACATACCACATTATTGTTTTAGCACCACGTATGAGTGCAGCTAGTTGGAAACTGAAGAGAACATGAGTTAGTTACAAGTAGACATAATATTTTACTTCCAGTAATCAGATTTTATTATTTTCTGTTCCAAAAACACAAGCAATACGTACAACGGTTTGCAAATGTAATTTGCCAGACAGAGCAGTGAACAAAGAAAAAGTTAGGTATGCCTGGGTTGCAAGCAAAATATCGTCCCAATCACTGTCAACTTTTTTTTTTTAATGTATTATTAGTCTCCAAGCCCAGATGTCAGCCAGGGCTCTCTTAGACCACAGGCGAAGATAGGGGAAAAAATGTAACTCAGGCAGCAAACAGGGACCTGCAGCTTAACAGACCAGGCTTTTACAAGCCTAAGCAGAATTTTATCATCTTGTCCACTTGCCAGTATTTTAGGCACAGGAGATGTGAGCCAAAAGAAAGAAATCTTCCCAACCATCCACTTGTGTTTTGATTTTGTACAATGTGACATAGAAACAGACAGAAGAGAGGGCAGTAGCTCCAACCTCTAGCAATCTACTCCCACATTTTAGGGACCCTTGTGAGATCTGAATTGGGAAAAAGGTTTATGTAACTATGTCAATAAATAGAAATAAAGGAGACTTGGAACAGACTCGGGTTCTAGGGAATTGTTATCCCTTGGAGGTTATTCGGACAAGAAGCATAAACCACGAGTAGTAATTACTAGTGTCATGCAATGTGCATTTAGAGAAGAAATGTGGAGGGGGGAGGGGGGCAGAAAGTTCCAGAGAGAAACCCCAAATAAGTGACTATTCTGAATACTTCCTGAACAAGTCCCAAACTGGATGGGGAAGGGAGTGAAGAAGAGGCTCAGGTGGCTACATCCTGGAATCTCTCAGAGTATAGGTAGTCCTCGACTTAAGACCATTATTGAGCCTGGAATTACAGTTGTAGGTTGTTATGGTTGTAAGTCAAGGCATCACATGGCTAGACCTGATTTTTTTTTATTATTATGCAAATACTGTTATCACTGAGCAAATCCATACTACCCAATGGGTGGGGTTTTTTGCAAAAAAAAAAAAAAAGTAAATGCCCAAAACTAGCCAAAATATCAAAAATCATGGTCACATGATGTTGTAAGAGTGAGCTGGTTACCATGCACCCAAAATGTAGTCACATGGACTGTGGGGCGATGCGGCATCGTAAAACCCATGATGGCCTATCAAATTCAAACTGAAGAACAAGGTTTGTCAAGATGGTAATCATAACTGAAGCTTTGCCCATTTTTACATGAAAAAAGGGCAGGACTTCAATTTGGCAGCTGCCATCTTGACTTTTTTTGCCGTCCACCCTCAAAGACTCCACCAGGTTCACAGTAAGAATGAGGCCATTTTGCCAAGAAGAGTTTGAGAATCCCTTCCACACTATTCCACTCAAGCCAACAGGATTTCAAGGGAATGATCTATGAATTAGCTACCTGATGAGTGATTTGCTCCAGAAGTAAATAACTGCACAAACCACCCTGGAGCTAAACTCGAAGAAGTGTTATTCCTGAGGAAGTATTGAGTTGCACAGACAAGGGTCAGGTTTTCGAATGTAATGAAGTCACCATCTTGTCGCCAGTGAGATGACTTTCTCCTTTAAAAGAAAAAGAGAGAAAGTGTACTGGAAATCAGAGTGCCAGCAGGTCACTGAAGTGTGTAGCCCACCCACTCACAGGCTAAATCAGCAACCAATCCAGCATTCTGCTTGCTGAACCAGATAATGGGTGGGTGGGGGGAGGGGGGGAGGGAGGGAGAGAGAGAGAGAGAGAGAGAGAGAGAGAGAGAGAGAGAGAGAGAGTCAGTTGGATGGGATACTTTTTATCCTAACAAAAACAGAACACAGGAGAGGACTGGAGAAAAAGTGGGGGCTGCTACACACAATGAAAACCTGTCAGTGGTATTAAGTTAAGGAAAACAGAGAGAAAGGAAATTAATTTAAATACACTCAGCCACTAGAGGTTACTGTTGCTCTATCTATTTTTAGATTAGAATGGCTTTATTAAGAAAGGGAAACTGCTCTTAGTGTCCTCTTGGGTACCCTCTTTCTAGGTTTTCAGCTGAAAACTTTTACCGCTTCAGATGCAATCACGGTTTTAATTTTTCTGCCATTTCTTTATCACCGACCCTTGTGATAGAGAGAAATCTGGACAACATTTTGGAGAAATCAAAATCTGCAGTATTCACACTGCAGACCTGTGTTTCCAAGAAAGAATCAATTCAGTGAAATATTCACTTGAGAAGAAACAGCATGCTCTCTGAGCCAGTTCTATAAACACAAGTAAAATAAAACACAGATTTTGTTTTTGTTCTTTTTAAAAAAACAGAATTCGTTTGAGAGTGCAAGAGTAATCTTCCTAAATGACATTTATTTACGTATTCAGTAGATTTATAAGGCTGCCCAATTCAATGTGACTCTAGGGTGGTGTGCAACAACAAAAAGCAAACAATAAATCCAAAAAAGAGTAAAATGATGTAAAAACATACACAATATATAAATATGAATATGAAAGCAAAGTCAATTTTGTCTGCTCTCTGATTGCCTTGCTGCAAGCATCTCCCAGTTTTGGGAAACTAGAACTGATATCATCACTATGTATACTGATATATCTATATATACTGTATATATAGATCTATCTAGAAGAGTGCTGCCTGTTATTACATTTGTCCAAAGGTTGTTCTCAGTTTCTGAGCAGTAAACAAATCTACCATCTCATTTTTTGTTTCCTGCCCTAACAACACTTGTGGTTAAAGGTTAAGATGATAATCCTATAGATTCTTTTTCGATGATTTACAGTTTTATCATTTTACTGTTTTATGATTGAAATCATTGTGTAAACTGTCCACAGAAATGTAATTACTGTGGATTAAATATTTCTTAGTAACAGTAATAACAATTGTGTTCTTCCTCTACTTAAGGTACCTTACAGAGGGGCAGACCAATTTTCAGAACTGAAAAAGATGCAATCAGACTCTCATAGGTATACTTACATAGCCCTGTTGTCATCTCAATCCCTACAAATGAGTCTTTGTTTCTTATCTCCCTTCATTGCGAATATTGTGCATTTATTCTTATTATTTTCAGTTCTTCGCCAAACTTTAACCCATCAGAGGACTCCGTCTGGATTCTCATCACTGCTTAGTTCACCCAAAAATTTTCAATGAGAAACCTTTTAAAAAGGTTTTTCTCCTTTATCAATTTATCTGATTTTTTTGGGAGGGGGGGGGAAGAATCAGGAAATTTGGGCACTGTTTTGAAAAATAGATTTGGATTTGGGAATAGAAAGAAAATATATTTGTTTGGATGCAATATCCCACTGAATTCAATTTGCAAATCCTTCTGGCAACTTATTCCATTAGGCTTTCATGGATCACAGCCTGGTTCAGCAAAAGCAGGGATAAAGTCATGAGAAAAGGAAAAGAAAATAAAGAAAACGTTGTCTTAGGAGCGTATTCCTTGCAACTAGTGCAGTGCGATTCTGTGATTTAGGCAAGCAGGAAACAACTTCAAGTTGCCAGAATATACTCTGTTGCCTTTAAACCAAAAGTCTAACGAATGGTTGTTTTTTTTACGATCTGCAACAGAAGCAAACAATTTAATTACAGACAAAGATAAAGAAAGTCTTCTCCGCCCCGCCCTGAGAGACCTGCAAACAGAGCCTGTCAGGGCAGCCTCTCCTTCTCCCGCCCATAGCAACCGCCCTTAGCAACACGCGCGTGGCTGGATTGGGCGGAGCTGTCTGGATCTTCGGTCCTTTGGAGCGTCGGGTCGGCTTTCTATGCAAGGCCGAGGCTGCATGGCCTAGTCCGAAAGGGATGCTAAAAGTAAAACTCCTTTTCGTAGGCCCCAGCGAGGTGAGTGTGTGCTTCCAAGACCTTCTCAAAGAAAGGAAACCTCTCACGGTCTTGTCTCTTGACTCCTCGTCCTTTTCTAAAATCGGACGGGAAAGGCTGCGAGGCAAACCGGAGTTACAGCCTACTAAACTCCTCCGAAGATCGCCAGGTGGGGAAGGATGGAGCTCTGTTGCCTTCACTTGCCTCGGTGGACTCCCAAAGGCATCGGGTTGCCTAAGGGTGAGAAACAGGATGCTGAAGAACTGGATGCCAGCTTGGCATAATCGAGCAATGCATTTTCTATTCCTACTGACAACGGCCATTAAAACAGTACTGTAGAACCTTCATGTTAAGAAACAGTCTATCTTTGCGAACAAGAGATCCCATTCCTTAGTATTCTGCTGCGTCTTTCTTCTCTGGTTTCCTAGATAGTCTGATCCAGCAAGTTTCTACTTATTACAGGTAGTCCTTGACTTACAACCATTCCTTTAGTGACGGTTCGAAGTGACAATGGCACTAAAAAAAGTGACACACACTTATGATCGTTGCATGGATGGTCATGAGTTCAAAATTCAGATGCTTCATATTTATGACGGTTGCAGTGTCCTGGGGTCATGTGATCGAACACCTTTTGCGTCCTTCTGACAAGCAATGTCAATGGGGAAGCTATATTTACTTAACAATTGTGTTACTAACTTAACAACAGCAGTGATTTGTTTAACAACTGTGGCAAGAAAGGTTGTAAAAATGGAGCAAACTCACTTAATGACAGAAATGTTGGCCTCAATTGTGGTCGTAAATTGAGAACTACCTGCTACTTTATTCTCAAGATGCCTAATCGTTGCCAATTTGGGTTGAGGCAGGTGGGAATTGGAGTCCAAAATATCCTCTCACCTTGGATGGGGAAAACAATGTCAAAATGTTCCTTGAAACTAATCCCAGTTGTGTGCACTCATTCATGCATCACATTTCAAAACTATTTAAAAATATATCAGTCACTGTGGGGAAGAATTCCAGGTGGGATCTTCTTTAAGCTGCAACCAGTATTAAAAAATACCTCTGTTCCAAACTTGTCAGAGCAGCCATGAAAAGGTATAGTTTTGTCGGGTGCATCATAATACTTTTGTTGTAATTTAATTCCTGCTGATGCTTAGGTAATTTTGTTTCTGAATTTGTTTGTGATAGGCTGGAAAATCTGTCTTGGCAAACTTCTTGTCAGAGACCATTGAAGGTATTGGCAGTTACATCCCCACACAAGGAGTAAGGTGAGGAGGAATAGACTTATTTACTGTGCACCTGATTAAACAAGCAAACTTTAAAATGTCTGAAACCATTCATTAAAATCATTGTTAGTAATTTCTCCCTGTCTGGAAACAACTTAGATCATACTGATTTACAGGCAGTCCTTGATTTATAACACAATTGGGACCAGAAATTTCCATTGTTAAACAAGGCAGTTATTAAATCACTTACTTTTTTCAGTGTCACTGTAACTTTGAACAGTGCCTAAATGAATAATTGTAAGTTGAGGACTACCTGTACTAACTTACTTCTTCAATAATGAAATCTTGACATTTAGTACATACCCAGTCTAATACATGTGGATCACTGCAGAAATGAATGTGATTATCTTGCTTGTACATAACTCTCCCAAAGCTTACTATCCTGCAAAAAGGTTTGCTAAATGTGTGGCTCAGATGAGATAGCTGCATTTTTCTGCTGAGAACAGAACAAGGAGTTTCATTCTCTGGCAACCTGTTTGATTTGTTAATCTCAGGATGCAGGGAATAGCTTTCCATTCCCCTTTTCATTCAAATTCCATGCAGTACATTTGTCAACATGTAGTTTTTGACTGACAGGCTAATGCATAAATCCAAGATTATGAGTGCCTCTTTCTGTTGAAACAAGCGGTAGTAGTGGCTGATATTAGCCAGTGGGCAGAGAAGATTGAATGTCTGAGAGAGTTCTAACTAGACTTTGATTGGAAAGAAGAGAAATTAACCATGGCAAGTAATATGATACAGTACAGTTCATTTGAAAAATATTCTGTCAGTATCCAGATCAGGATTCCTTTTTCTCTAGCACGCCTGCTTTATTTACTCAAATGTAGTACCTATTTTACATTTTAGGATTTTAGAATATGAGAAGCCACATTTCAATGGAAACAGCAAAGGACCTGGATGTCGGTTTGAACTGTGGGATTGTGGAGGTGATCAAAAGTGAGCAAGTTTCTTATATATCTTGCCAGCTTTCTCAGTGTAGGTCCATTCATAACCTGGGCCAGACCGTTAAGCTAAGGAACCTTAACTATGATTTGGCATGGTAGCTGAATTGATGATTTGTAATCAGCTAGCAAAATAGAGCTAGAAATTATGATTTGAAAGGGAGATTGAACACCATGACATTTGGTACCTACACCTTGGTATGATACATCGATTAAAAAACCAGTTTTTTAAAATCACATAGAAAGCCTCCACAGATAAAGACGCACCTTGTTGCAGGCAAGTACCGTAGTCTGGTGGGTATTTGCATTATGGCATAAACTGATGTAAATTAGATTCTGAAAGAGGATATGCTCAAGGCACATAATGTTTTTATTATTTATTATTGCAATTACAGTATGCTTCTTATTTGGGGGGAATTTAAAATGTTATACATGAGAGTTTCTCTCCCATCATTCAAGCTACAACCACCCTGTGAATTATGTTGGGCTGTAAGAGAAACTGAGATATGCACATCTGTAGCCATATAGGAATTTCACATATAACACTAAGGCTTAATTAAATTATAATTTGGCTTGCTGGTTATACAACATGTCAATGTTTCTCATCAACTTTAAAATATGTGGACTTTTAACTCCCAAAATTCCCCAGGCAGCAATTATGGGAGTTGAAGTCCACTCATCTTAAAATTGCTAAGGCTGAGAAATACTGTGTTATATGAACCCAACTGATGTGATTAGCAAACTATGCTTGACATTTTACATTAATATTTATACTTTTGATAGCGAGATGGGCTGCATATTAAGTAGTTGAAAAACTGTGGCTTGAAGCAGTGTGAAACCAGTTATTATCTGCAACTGGGTTGCATAATTTCTTATCAAACAATACTGTTTCCAGCCACATTCTTTTTCTTTTGCACTTCTAGATTTGAGACTTGCTGGCCTGCCCTGATGAAAGATTCCCATGGTGTCGTCATTATTTTTAATCCAGACTTGCCAAGCCATGTGAAGGAAATTGAAATGTGGTACTCCTGTTTTGTCCAACAGCAGCAGTTGCTTGAGAATCAGTGCTTGCTCATTGCACATCACAAACCAGGCACTCCAGGAGATGTAGACAATCTCACTTTGCGTAAGACCATAAATTTTATTTCCCCACTTTTGTGTAATCTTTCTCAAATTACAAACCTGATTCACTGTTTTCTCTCTTCAACTTCAAAGCTTCACCATTGAACAGGCTGACATTGATACACTCCAGCCTTGAAGAAGATCCTGAAGATGTTCGAATGGAATTCGTGAAGTTCCTGAAGAATATTACTAATTTGGTAAATGAGAACCGGGACAGAGAGGAGATGTTGATTATTAATTAGTAATATGATAAACGTTGGACAAATAAATGGCTATTATTTATTAATAACTTAAGTTTCCATTTGGATTTTCTTCATTATTACAAACTCATTTATTTTTTCTTCCAAATGTGAGAATAACTGTATTGACTTGGAATTGTGTAACAAGGGAATCAGCATTCACTGTGCGGTACACAATGAGAAAGAAATACATAGCTATGGATCCCTTATACAGGTAGTCTTCAACTTACAACAGTTCATTTAGTCACCTTTCAAACTTACAACAGCACTTTAAAAAGTGACATGATCATTTTTAACACTTATGATCATTTGCAGCAATGCTCTGATCATGTGATCAAAATTTAAATGCTTGGCAAATGACTCATATTTATTACGGTTGTAGTGTCCTGGGTCATGTGATCCCCTTTTGCAGCCTTCTGACAAGGAAAGTCAATGGGCAAGCCAGATTCACTTAACAACTGTATTACTAATTTAACAACTGCAGTGATTCACTTAACAACTGTGACAAGAAAAGTCGTAAAATGGGGAAAACTCACTTAACAAATTTCTTACTTAACAACATAAATTTTGGGCTCAATTGTGGTCGTAAGTCAAGGACTTCCTGTATTAAAATTAAATTCTGAGTCCACTGTTCAAAAATATCCTTCAGTATATCCAATGTTGTAATATTTGGCTTCGTTCTGTAATTGTAAATTAAGTTTGTGTTTCTTTAACTGTTATCTTCTTTACATCACATCTGTTGGCATTCATTGCTCCACTAAACCATGCTGCATTTCTGAAAAGCATCCATCTCCAATCTAATCAGCCAGTTGTGTGCTGCAACATCTTATTTAAAATTGACAATGAGCTCTAATTTGGGATCATCTTTCTGCTTTTTTTTTCATCCATGCTTGATAAAGCAGTTGGCTCTTTAGGTGCAAGGATGAGACCAGAGAGCTGATTAACATTGTTTGCTTGCTTATATTTGAATTCCTTGCCTACCAGTAGTTGAGCAGAAGCTTCAATGTGTTTGACATTATCAGCAATAGCAGGAAAATTGGTGAAATCATTAACTACCCGAGGCCAAAGTTTCCTTCCAGCAACATTAAGTGTGCTTTGGTTTATTTCATCTAAGGATTCCTTAATGATAAATAGTGTCATATATCATTTTCATGTATCTCAAACAAATTCTTAACTACTTGGGTGACAATGGCCCTGGTTTAGATTTCTCCTGAGTGGCCATTCTCTGTATGCCAAATCTGGAAGGGCTTTTCAGTTTATAGAGGAGTCCTGGCAGATGAAGTTGCAGAAGAAACATCTATATAGTACTAGAGAAAGACAAAGAGTCTGACATGGGTAAAAGTCCACATTAAAGATTACATCATGCTGATAAGAGTAGAAAAATGAAATTATTCTGCAGATATGTGTAACACGACCTGGACCTTATTAGAGAGGAAATTGCTATGAGAATTCTAACAGAGGGATAAAAACACTTTGATCTTCTCTGAGTTATAGCATGACCGTGCAAAAATAAGTGCTATTAATCAAATGAGATCTACTAACTAATCATGCAAAGCCTCATGCTGTAAAGTTCATTTTTTTCCCCATAAAACAAAGTCACTTTCATTTTTGTCTACATTTTTATAGATAATAAATGAAATGTTTATACAAATTAGAGTCGAATAAAGGTAGTTGGCGGGATTGTCTTATTATACTTTAAAAGATCAAACAAAATGTATGTATGTGTCACAGATTGCCATTTTTCTCTCTGTAGTGTGAGAAGGAATCAAGAAATATGTTAGCTTTAATGAGAAGTAACTCATATATTGTCTATAAAAGATGACTCCCAGGAAGCAGGGATGGAAAACATTCTCAGTCTTGCTTTTTCTCCACTGGTGGGTTTCAATTTTTTTTACTACCGGTTCTGTGGGTGTGGCTTGGTGGGTGTAGTGTGGCTTGATGGGCATGGCAGGGGAAGGATACTGCAAAATCTCCATTCCCACCCCACTCCAGGAGAAGGATACTACAAAATCCCCATTCCCTCCCCACTCCTGGGGGAAGGATATTGCAAAATCTCTATTCCCACCCCACTTGGGGGCCAGCCAGAGGTGGTATTTGCCGATTCTCCGAACTACTCAAAATTTCCGCTACCGGTTCTCCGGAACCTGCTGAATTTCACTCCTGTTTTCTCCTTTGGGAAAACTCAGATGTGTGGCATTTATTCAATTTGGCAATATCTATTTGATTTTCTGAAAGGCATATGGAACATATATTTTTTCTCCTCTTTAAAAGAGAAAGATCTTAAAAGTAGTGTTTATACAGCAAGTTTTATTTTGGCAACAAGACACCAAACATTCCAATACCATTGTGCTGTTTAAAATTACACAAAATGCAACATCAGTTTTTTGCACCCATTCCAACCATACAATACCCCCTTTACTCAGAGGTGACTCCGACTTGTCCTCTTCCTCTGCCTTTGAAATGAAAGTTTAACAAGAGCTTTGGTGCATCAAAAACAACTAACCAAATATTATTATTTAAGTATGAAAAATAATATAAGTACAAGACAATGCCGTTGGGTTTATAGATCAAGCTCAATTATCAAGTGCTTTGTTAAGTTTAGCCTATTATGTTCTTTGACCCAGCTAGTCTGATTTTTCAAATATATTTTGCAGCCATTAGTTAGTATGAACAAAGTCAATGGTATTTTATTGAACAAATAAACTAAACTCAGAGCAAGTCCTAGGTAGCATGATATTTGAATCCAACCTACGGTGTATTCACACAATATATTAAGTCAATTCAACTGGAGATTTACTGCTTTACTTACTTTTTAATTTGCAGAAATCAAAATTAAAACTTGCAATAAGTCATTTTGTGAGATTCTTTACCAGTTCAGTTTTTCTTCTGCAGTTAGGCTAAATATTTTTTTAATAAACTGCCTGGAAGAAAACAATTCATTGTTTGTTAGGTATGGGAACGCAGGTTCTCCGTTTCTACTGTTTATACAACATATAGGAATGTTTTGAATCTATGTGTCCTTACTGCAAAGGGGCAAATTTCAAAAAATTTCTTGCCGAACTGCAATCAGTAGATTCTTTTCAAAGTGGGAAGTTCTCTTATGCCTGTACAGTATTGGGGAGAGAAGGAATTTTCCATTTCCATTCACTGCCATTTGAAAAATAACCACTAGCTTGAAAAAGACAAGTCCAGAGAAATAAATCACCGAGATAAGGACAGATTCTTTTTTTAAGTCTATGTACTAGTGAACATATCTTTTTTTGTTTTAGTTTTGAATAATTTGTCATGGTGTGCCAGCAGATTTTGCTAACGTGGGAATTTCACCACAAATGCTTCTCTGACCTAACCTAAAATTTGAGTACCATTAATTTTCAATCATTAGTTTCAATCAGTATTTATTTATTTATTGTGCAGGAAGAAACAAAATGTTCAGGCTCATGAAATATCAAAGTCTTTGGTGAACACTTCTTACAGAGGAATGAAAGAGTGCTTTCAAACTCTTAATACGGGCAGCTTTCAAATGAGATCATGAGTTTTGAATCTATTTCAATTTATAGTCAATGCAAGGAACATTAACTACTAGTACATTTGTTTTTAGCATTTGGGGAGGTGTCTCATCTGCTTTCCATCTATTCAGAACATGCACCCACATGGAACCTTTTAGACAAGAGGAGGGAAATTACAACCCCTCTAAATGTTTTTTTTTGCAAAGATTTTCAATCACATAAAATATCTGAGAGGCAGGATAGGTTAAGATAATTTATGATTGCAAGCAAACTATTGTTTCAGGATGAAAACCAAATTATGGGGCTGTTGCTGGAATGATCCTTGGCAGTTTAAAATGTATACACCAGTCTCTCATGAGAATCCTGGGGCTTACCTAAATTTCCACAACAAAATGCCATTAATAAGAAAGATGCTAATAAATATGTCTTTGCTTAGCAATGTACATGCATCATTCTTATTTCTGATTAAAATTAGAGTAGGGGATAAAAAAAGAGCTGACATTGTCTTTGGGCATTTATGGGATACAGTTCCAAAGTCGTAAATTGACCGACTTGATTTATTCAAACCTTTGTTGAAAAACTGTACAGAACAATCCCTGAGGAATCTGGAATTACCAGCACAACAACAACAACTACAAAACTGTGCCCAAGTTCACATTTTAGAAAACAGGCTTGCCAGATTAGATATGGGAGACCCCAAAGGTTTGATATAATCCCTTTGACTGAATTGGGAATGGACAAAAAAAACAACAACAAAATTTAGCTTTGTTCCTTGTAAAAATGCAGATGAAATTCTCATAATTTGTAGAAGAGATCTGTGAACTATAAGCTAGCCAACTACATTTTATCTTGCATATTGAGAGAACCTATCTTATACCTTTACAAGCTAATAATTCAGTGTATTATGTGAACCCTGAAATTGGTTTTTTTCTTAAACTCTGGTTAACCCAACTGAAGTCAGAAAATTCATAGATGTTAGCTCTAGATTTCAAGCATGGTGGATACAAGAAGGAAAAATAGCATGTGAAGGGCCTTTGTCTAGCAAGACAAGTACTGTATTGTGATAAAAAATAACACTAACCTTTGAATGGAAAATGAAATGTGGAATGTGGAAGCTGAATGGAACCAACCAGAACACTGATTGACATCAAAAACTTGTAAGGAGCACAAGATGTAAGGCTTCCTCCTTTCACATCTTATTAAGGTAAATAACCCATGCAACTATTATGGCCAGGCTTGAATTCATACTGGTAGAGCCCTACTACTTTCTCCCAACCCTGTTCAAAAAAGGTGGGTGTGTATAAGGTGAAAGTTGTTTTTTCCATGGAATCCAGGCCAGGCTTCTTGAGGAGTGTCTGGAATGTCCTCTTCCTTCAGAGAAGCACTGACCACAACCTGGATCCAGCTTCAAATATCTTCCCAGGTGGGGCAAGGATCCAATGCACAAATGGGAGAGCTACAGTATAGCAATAGCACTTAAACTTAAATACCACTTCATAGTGCTTTATAAGCACTCTCAAAGTGGTTTACAGAGTCAGACTATTGCCCCCAACAATCTGGGTCCTCATTTTACCGACCTCAGAAGGATGGAAGGCTGAGTCAACCTTGAGCCTGGTGAGCTTCGAACTGCCAAATTGCAGTCAGCCGGCAGTCAGCACAAGTAGCCTGCAGTACTGCACTCTAACCACTGCACCACTGTGGTATTGAGAACTTGGTCCTCTTCCTTGAGGTCTACAGCTAAAAAATCTTCAATGATGTCTGTCATTTCAACAGAGTCCATCTATCTAGTTTCCAACTTGGAGCAGGTAAGACCTGTTTTATCAAGGCTGTAATAGCTGTCGTATGTTTCTTATTCTGGCCAATTCTTGTATAAATAAGATCTGAGATAACCTTGGCCAACATTTTGCCGATGGAGTAAAAGTATGGAAGTGATTCTGCCTCACCACCTTTATCGCTTACATAATAGGGTCAAATTTTAGTTCATACCTATGTCCAGGCATATTCACTCTTTGAAGATCATATTTTAAGCTGTTCTCCAAACACATTCCTCCATATCCTACTTTACAGAAATAGTCTTTCACTTGAGTTCTCAGGGGTGTAGACAGCCCTCAAAAAATCCTGGATAATGTCCATAAAACCACTTCAGGCATTGCCTATCTAAATCACAATTTTAATATGCTAGAAGGAGAAAATAAGTAAATACATATGGAGCAGATATATTAATGGCATTGTATTAAAATAAAAATTACACTAAATTATTTTTTTCCTCTTGGCACCACAATGCATGCAGTAACAAGAAGAGGACCTATCTGCTGTGTTAGAAATCACCTGGGATTACTCCTCAGAAACATAAATCTTCCATACCAAATTTGCAGAATAAGGTACTGTTATAAATAATGCAATGGATTATGCATGAAAGACAACTACTCATAATCTTTTTGCTTCTAAAACAGAACAAGAATAGCATTTCTGTTTTGGTAATACAGTTCTAATTACTGTGACATCTGCAAGCAGAGAAAACAGATAAGGTGCTCTTCAAGTATCTATAGTTTCCAATTTATAATTAAACTTTTATTACATTGAAGAACATGATGTTCAACCTTATTGAATCCCAACCACCTTTTCTTACATTTCTCTCTCTCTCTCTCTCTCATCCTTGTGATGGGAGGTATGCTTAACCATCAAGACAAAATAAAGAATTGACTAGCTACGATGCCAACATTTCAGGGTTGCTTTCCTTAACTACCGTGTTTCCCCGAAAATAAGACCCTCTCTTATATTTATTTTGAACCTTGAAATAAGCGCTTGGCCTTATTTTCAGGGAGGTCTTATTATTTTGGGGCGCATGGAGCAAGCTGGGGTTCCTCTTGCCGTCTTACCTGATTTCCAGCTCTGCATTTAAATATGTTCGGAGAGGGCTTATTTTCAGGGGGAGGCTTATTTCAGCACATACGCTCAAAAACCCGATTGGGCTTATTATCAGGGGATGTCTTGTTTTCGGGGAAACAGGGTATACAACCAGAAACATCTTTACCTAAGCATTTGTGCAAGGTGTTTGATATGACACGTGTTCAGATTTGCTGCTGCTAAACTCTGATATATACTTGTCTGTGGTAACTTCATTGAACACAATTAAGGATGCTAC